TTTTTGGTTTCATTTTTATTTTTATTTTTATTTTTTGCAATAAATATAAATGTTGATGAATGATGATCATCAGATTGTGACAATTTTCTACGCCATCTTTCATTTAAAAGTATCGGATTTTGTCCGTGCAAAACAAGTTATTGAATATGATGTTTAAATATATCATAATGTATATAGATGCTCAAATTTTACTTTCAATATATTTGCAATACAATTATTGTAACACTAGATGATAAAGCGTAAAAGATTAACGTAGTTTCAAAATTGTAGTATAAAACAAAATATGAATTCTCGAATACCTTCAAAACTATTAAAATATTCACTTGTGAATTGTTATACATCATTTATACAGAAAAAATATGTCTAAGTTGTAAGTCTAATGTGCTACTCCTTCCACCAATTGGTTTTGGGATAGAACCTCGCTTGAACTTCATCTGAGTTTTCCCTGCATATGGTGTACTTCACGTGTGTGGGACCGCTCCCGTTTTCCTCTCGTTTCTCACATGGTATTAGAGCCAATTCTATTAGGGACCGTGGGACTCGACTCGTTTTTCTTCCCGTTTCTTACATGGTATCAGAACCGGCAGGGGCGGACGCACACTTTAAGGACAAGGGGGCACAAACTACGGTCAACAGTCAACCTCGAATGTCAACGGCAGTGTTTAAAAAACCGTACCGTACCGGCCGGTAATACCGGTATTACCGGTTACCGGCCTTAGGTACGGTACAAAAACACACAAAATACCGGATTTTCGGTAATACCGTTTTGTACCGGTATTGTACCGTAAATACCGGGAAAAACCGGTCCAAAATACCGGCCATGAAAAAAAAAATTAAGAAAAAAATAAAAAATATTTTTTTTTTTTAATTTAAAAACATAAAATTTAAATTGGTAGTTAGAATGTTTTATTTTATTTCATTGGTAAGTTAAAATTAATGATTATGATCATTTATTTTTTATTTTTTTTGTATTTGGTATTATATATTTTTATAAATAAATATATATATTATTATATTTGCTAGTCCGGTAATACCACCGATATTACCGGTCGTACCGGTAATACCGCGTACCGGTGGGTAGACCGGTATGGCCACCGGTACGGTATTTAAAACACTGGTCAACGGTCAACACCGGATGTAAACGGTCAAATCAATATTAATAGTTAACCAATTTAAAAAAAAATATTGATAAGACACTGTGTTCCCTATTTAATAGCTGGGGTTGAGTTTTATATCCAGGGGCGGACGCAGACATTTAAAAGTAGGGGGCACAATATAATTCTACGGATGTGCGATAGTCGGGAATGGTCATGCCAACATCAACATGATTTTCTTGGTCTTTTCTTCGGACATTTCTTTCATCGACAACACTCGTACACTTTCGTTTATAATATAATATTTCTCCATAACTAATATAACAAATGATAATAACATTATGTTAGAACTTAGAAATGAGTGACAAGAACAAATTAGGAGCTAAATCTAAAACTATAATTACAATTATAAAGATAACTAAAACAAATAATATATAAAAAAATGCACAACAAATACGAAATCACTTTTAAGATGCTATTTTATCAAAATCATGAAAGCCCTAAATTAAAAATTACATAAATTTTGAAAACTCACAAATACAAATTTAGGGTTATAAATATTAAGAAATAATTAAATAAAACATACATTTTGAAATAAATATTGGTAGCCAATGAGGAAGTAGAAGTTCAAACCACTTTATTTTGTTTTTCATTTTTTTCTATAATTTCCTTAGTTCTACCGTGTCTCTGCGAGAGAAAGGAATAGGAAAGAATGCAAAGTGAGGCGACTGACTGTGACTACGAAATCTATTAACATATAATAAGGATTAACATAATTCACTTTTAGAAAGTCTTTCCCGCCAAAAACATTAATTACACACTAAATATAGTAATTTTAGATTCTATTTTAAATAAAAAATATTAATTACATTATTATAGTTTCCTATTAAAATGGAATTCGGATTGCATTTAAATATTCCGTTAGATATATTCTGTTATAGCATATTTGTTAGCGGATTTAATGGTGCATGCAATATTATGTTAGCATATTTATAGCGATTTATTTTATACATACCAATTTATTTACACTCAAATTATTTTAATTTATCATGATCCATTTTTTTATGGTAGATGTTGGGTATTTTATCTTCATAGCAATATATTTTAAAAAATCAGTGATATTGTCAAATCATTTTTATTTAGATTCTTGGATCCTTTGTTGTTGTATATGTTTTCAATTAATTTAAAATCAAACATTTTCATAAAATCTCATTTTTTATGAAAATAATTTTCTCGGCTAATATTTTTTTATATCTATCAAATTTTATAAAATTACTTATCAAAAATAAAATTCGTTTTATCAAATCATTTTATAAAATTACGGTTTGTATGAAAATTATTTTGTTGAGTGTAATTTTTATCTATCAGATTTTATAAATTATTGATTAAAAATTGAAATCACATTTTACAAATGGGCAATATATATTTTTATTTTTATTTGCAAACAAACTTTAAATCATTAATGGTATTAGACGTGTTATATTCACAATTTAAAATCTTATAGTTTTTTTTTTTTATATACAAATAAGATATAAAAATGCAATATAAACAACTACAACATTCGCAGTCTTTCCAATATAAAACGTAATAAACAGCGGGTGAAAAAATACACAATTTTGATGATACATAATTAGCATTCACGTGAAAAAAAATATTCAATACGAATAAAATCACCATTAGCTTTCAATGGTATTAGTCATGTTATATTCACAATTTGAAATTTTATTGTTTATATATATATATATATATATATAATTAAAAGTGCAATATAAACAACTACAACATTCTCAGTCTTCAAATAAAAAACGTAATAAACAACGCGTGAAAAAAATACACAATTTTGATGATACACAATTAGCATTCACGTGAAAAAAATATACAATATGAATAAAAAATCACCATTAGCGTTCAATGTAATTTCATTTCCATATTATTTGTTGTTAAAACGATTAATATACTTATAAGTATCATATCAACCCTACACAAAAAAATCACCATTGACGAACATACGAGTAATTAGTGAATCCATAGTAAGTGTCAAACAAAAAATAGATCAACTTTTCGGTCTTATCGAGGAAGTTGAACGAGCAAAGAGAGTTATGTTGCAACTTCAAGTGGTTCGCATGTTTGAGAGTAAATTTCTTAATTCTTATCATAACATCATAAAAATTATTTTTCATAATATTGAGGTATAATATTGTTTATTGTTTCTTTTTTCTTTTCACTTTCATTTCGTTATTTTTTTGTGCAGACTTCTGACAAATAAATTCCAGTCATTTCAAATGGGAGTTGTTAGGATATTGTGAATGCAACTATTAATGCTTCCACCATTTGGAGGGATTGTACTATGTTGCGACTTTCAAAAAACATGCGTCTTCAGAACATTTCTGATTTGGACGAGCGTGACAAGGTAGAAACGTTTACTGATTGGATTGTTAGAATTGGAGATGGGCCTGTAGGAGGATCAATCGATGGTTGTACCTACATTAATATTCTAGACGTTACAAGACTAGAACCCTTCGATGATCCAATTGCTACAATCGTGAAAAGTACCTATCCAATGTTCAAGAATACAACTGACAATTCTAGACATTTGAATGATAGTGCTCTATTAGCGCCTACTTTGGAGGTCGTTGAGTCTATCAATTAATACATGCCAAAGATGAATTTTGACGAAGGTTGTATGTATTTGAGCTCTGACATTATGTGGAAGTCCCAATCAAATAATAACTTTTTTTTTGTTTTGGGCAAAATCTCCACACTTCCGAGTTTTTGAATAGCATCAAGTTTTCAGAAACACCAAACCTTGGATTGCATTTGAAAATTGGAACTCCAATCATGTTATTAAGGAACGTGGACCATTCTATGGGATTATGCAATGGAACACGCTTGGTTGTTACCAAGTTTTCTACTCATGTGCTTGAATGTAAGATATTGATTGGAGATCATGAAGGTGAGAATGTGTTGATTCCTTGAATGAATATGATACCTTCCGATGTTAGGATTCCGTTTACGTTCCAGCGTAAGTAGTTCCTCCTTATGATTTTGTATACCATGACCATAAATAAGAGTCAGGGTCGTATATTTTTTCATTTTGGCATGCTCTTAAAAAAAATCGATATTTAGTCATGGCCAGATATATACTGTTGTTTTATGTGTAACTAATATGAAGGGGTTGAAAGTATTTGTTTACGAGGACGATGAGTTGCCCGACAATCAAACTAATAATGTTGTGTATAAGGAGATTTTTAATAATGAATTTTCATGACAAATTTTTTATGATTACTTGACAAATGCTCTACGGATTATAACTTATTGATTTTTTAACCTTTACCAAAATAAATATTGTCCGTGCATCGCACGGGTTACATACTAGTGTTTACTGGGAAGAAAATAAATTTGCTTCAACTTTTTAAATTGTAGTGGGACCCACAAAAATTAACATAATTAAAATCAATAATGTATACTAATTAGTATAGGTAGACTTTTTGTAGTGGGGCCACAAGAACTAACATAATTAATATATATATATACATGCCCGCTCACCTGCCCACGGTGGGCAGTGCCCACTAGTTTGTTTTATATGAAAAACGTATTTTGAGAATACGTTTTCCAATTAAATTTAGGTGAAAAACGTATTCTC